ACGGACTTGTGCAGATTGGATATGGGAGACGAAAAAAAAAAGAAAATTAAGTATGATTTCCAGGTTTCCAGCTTAAGTTGGTAGGAGGATGTGCCATTTTCTCAGATGAAGAAAATTAGGTGAGAGGAAGGGCATGTTTATTTTTATATGTTTTATTTGAAGTTTTTTTGAGATGTGTAAGTATAAATGTCAAGTGGGTCACTGAATATCTGAATCTGGAGCTTTCGAATGGGGAAGACAGGACAAGAAAGTTTGTGATATGAAATGTTGTAAATGACATAAAACTTAAATGAGAAATGTCATGCCTAGGTGAGTTAATGAGAGTAACTTGAAAACCACAAAACAAAATAACTGAGAATTTAGCTCAGTGGCACAGCGCCTGCCTCATAAGCACAAAGTCCTGAGTTGGATCCCCAGTACAAAACAAAACAAAACCTGGCATTTGAACCAAAGGAAAAATGACAAGGGAGAAAAAAGAGAAGGGACTAGCAACTATGGAGGAGAGAAATCTTAGGGCATGTTCAGAAACTGAGAGTTTACATTAGATAGAATATAATGTGTGTTTGGAATGATGGAATGTTGGAAGAGAGGGGCCTGAAACCAGATCTTTTTTTTGTTTTTGTTTTGTTTTGTACTGGGGATCAAACTCAGGACCTCACGCTTTCAAGGCAGGTGGTGGCACCACTGAGCTAAATCCCCAGCCATGCCTGAAGCCAGATCTTGAAGGGCTTTAAGCACCATTGCTAAGGAATCTGTATTGCATTTGGTGGACAACTATGAGAACTAGGAAATCTCTAAGCTGAGGCATGTCTTGAAAAAGCTGTGGAAAGCCATTAAGTGATATTGAGTAGGCAAAATTGAGAAGTGAGAATAGGATGCAAAGAAGGCCAGTTAAGAGTCTATTTCAGGTCCAGGGATTTACGTCAGTGGTTCTGCCGCCTGCTTCACAAACACAAGGACCCAAGTTCAATCCCCGGTACCAAAAAAAAAAAAAAAAGTCTTTCAATTAACAAGACATGAGGTAATAAGGATCTGTATTTTGACCAAGGAAACAAAATTAAAAGGCAAATGCAAATGTGAGGAACACCTGAAAGGAAAATTATAATCATGCTAACTTAACAGAAAAGCCAGGAAAAGGAAATTACTTCTTTCTTCCCAGTATTGTTGCCTCCATACCAGATTATGAACTCTGGTAAGGCTTGGGGACACTTTTGAATCTCTCCACAGTGATTTTGTGTGTGTGTGTGTGTGTGTGTGTGTGTGTGTGGGTGTGTGGGTGGTACCTGGGATCAAACTCAGGACCTTACACTTGTGAGGCAGGCACAGCACCACTGAGCTAAATAACTGGTCCCTTCTGCACAGTGGTATTTACTACCTCGTGCTGTTATAGTTTCAGAGTAAATAGGTAACAAAGCAGTAGCTCTGGTATTGAAGTAAACAGATTCACATAGCTAACTGTTGCCGGAAAAAGCAATGTAAGGTCAAGACCATGGGTTGATAGAACATGAGCAGGGAGTGGGCTGACAATAAGCACTAGCAAAGATGAATTGCATTTTTGCATATTTTTCTTTTTAAAATTTACTGTATAGACTGAACCTTTGAGGCTCTGAAATTTTTTCTCTACCACACTCCCATTCATATTATTATATTCCTATTTGTGCAAAGTCCCACACTCTCCTAGCCCTAAATCTGATGAACAAATCACTGAGAAAACGGCTGAATGTGCTAACCTTCCCTCAGTAATATGTACAATTTAGACAACTGAGACCATTGACTATCATGATACAAATGTCTAACATGAAAGTTAATCATATGGCAAGCTGCAGTTGAGGCATGGTAGATTGGCAGGGGCAATGTCCTTTCAGGAGTACCTTGAACTCTTTGGAGTGTATTGCTCTATAAATACAATAAAGCAATGAATTAATAAAATGTCTCCTTTTATAAGAGTATGCATTTAACTATTTCTAATACTATAAGCTCTAAACATCACTCAGGATAACTTGGAGTAAACAGGCATATTCTGAGGGATAGCAGATAGATCTCCCTACTCTAAAATATCACCCCACTGAAATTCCATAATCTGGCGATAAATATTTTAAAATTTTGAGCCCTGAAGGTTTGTTTTCAAGAATCTCTTATTAAAATGCAAATCCCACAGAAGGAAGGTAGGTTGGCTGGCTATGATTTAGCATTATTTCCCTTTACATTAACCCACCACTCCTACCAAACACATTTTTCACATTCTGGATTTTCCATGCCTTTGCTTATGGTGTTCTTCTAAAGGTAATGCTAAGTTTAACATAAATTATGAAGAGAATATTATTTTATAATTTCACAAGTGTCATCCAATATCCAAATACAAGCCTACTTGTCCTTTTTAAAAACAATTTATTTTTCAAATGTAAGAAGAATAACAAGTTTATTGTAGAAAATTTGAAAAAGGCAGGGAGAAAAGAAAAAGAAAAATAACAGCCATAGTTCTACTACCTAAGGAACAACCATTAAGAGTGTAGTCCTGCCTATTCTTTAAACCTTAGATTAGGTCCCATTTCTAGTGTGACACCTTCCTTGGACTTCCTTCCTTAGATTCACTGTCATGTTTGTACCACTCACTTCTGTGTATAATTAGTTAATTTGGTGCGTCTTGTGTTTCCAACCAGAGTATTAAAACCTTGGCAAGCTGAAACTCTGAATTATACTTCTTAGCTTATTCCCAAATACCAGGTACACTGGATCCAATGTTTGCTGACTGATTAAACCTAAATGGATATGAACTTGAGAAAGGATATGAAATAGGACAAATATCTAGGTCATGAAAATTAAAGTTTTCTGATCACCTACCTTGGCAACTATTGGTTTTCTGTTCCTGGACTCTTGAAGGTCTATTTAATTCTTTCTCCACACCAAAACTTAGTAAAAAGCAAACTGATTAAGAGCCAAGATTTACTCGGGTTCCCTATATAAGGTATAAAGGTAGGGAGGAGAGATGGAGAGGGACAGAGAGAGAAAGAGAGAGAGAGAGGAGAGGCTAGGAGGACAGGAGGAGAGGAAGAAGGGAGGGGAAAGAGAAAAGAGAAGGGTAGAAATAAGCACATATGGTACATAGGCTGAAAAGAGAAGTGAGAGAGAATTTATATAGTATGCTCAGTCCAGTATGTGATTTGCCTCCAGCACTGTGTACAGGATCCCATCCACTTGTTCTGAGTCATACCCGATCTCACGAAGCTCCAAGTGAGGGAGGACAGAAGTAAGAAGATAGCTGACGTAGATACGTAGCCGTGTAAGCTTTGCCAAAGTCCTGTATGATGGAGTGAGGGGGCAGGAGAAGAGATGACATGAAGTCATTAGCTAACAAAATAAAATGAAGCCTCTTCAAAATGGGCCTATAAAAAATAAATAAATAAAAATAAAAACACTGGGGCCAGGGATTTAGCTCAGTGGTTTCGCCGACTGCCTTGCAAGCACAAGGGCCGAAGTTCGATCCCCAGTACCAAAAAAAACCAAAACCAAAAACAACAACAACAGCAACAAAACACAATGGGCCTATATTTCTCAAACATTAAGTTTCCATTATTTAGAAACAAAGAAGAAAGCACAATGCCACCAAGCACAGGGCAACTGGCTGCAACTTACTCAATCTTGGTGGCCTATGAATTAAGGCTTCCTTATTGTCTATGGCCAGTAATTGGGGGTCTTAAGGGATGCTTCCCATTAGCACTCACAAGCTGATAACTAAACCCTAGTAATTAACCTTTCTAGGTCATCTCCCTCTGTGGTCCGGTAGGAGACCTGAGTCTTCTGCAGCACTTCCAGGTGTGTCTGTGTCTCCTTCAGTTTCTCTTTTAAATCTTGCTTCTCTTCTTTGGTTCTTTCTAGTTCAGCTTTCAGAATCTGGAATTCAGCTTGGCGATAACCCATGTGTTTCTTGCTCCAATACAGGCCCTCTGTCTCTTGAGTACTATAGGTTACCAATTCATGTTGAACCTTCTTGAATTCAGAACGCCAGTGATTCTTCTCTTGTTCTAGTTCCTCTACCTGCAGTTCAAGAAACAGAAATTCAGTGAGCCCACATACTACTGAAAGGTGAAGAGAGTGCCAAAAATTATTTTTACTCTATCCTGTAATTCCATTATGCATACTTGTATTCCTCTACTTATTGGAATCCCTTTCCAATCAAATGTGAGAAAGAAACCTGTAAGAGTTAACTCAGTCTGAGACATACCACAGAACAGTTCAAAAGACATACCTGCATTTTTTTGGTTTTTATTTTTTATTTTTTTTCTGTACCAGGGACCGAACTCTGGTCCTTGCACTTGCGAGGAAGGCAGCGGAAGCGCTGAGTTAAATCCCCAGCCCATCTGTATTTTGTTTAAAGACCTCAGAACATTAATTCATAAGCCCACGAACACCCTAAGTCCCTTGATTATAAAAATCTCTTATTCCTAGTGATACCATGTTGCCCAAACCTTTTGCTGGAACAAATTCCTTTCAGCCAAAACATGTTCCAATTTTTCTGTAGTTTTCTTCAATTCTTCCAGCTCACTTTGGTTTCGCATCTTTGGTGTATTATGACCTCCAGTCTCCTTGCAGCCTCGTCGTTTCTCTCCAACAGCTACTGCAGAAATTGTAGCAGAGGCCACAGAAGAATAAGGCACTGGGTTCCAGGATTCAACTGCTTTTCTTTTCTCAGCAAGCTCCTCTCTGTTAAAAGGGATTAGCTGAATGGGAGCTCCAGAATCTCTAACACCTTTTGCAACACCAACAATAGCTACAAATGGTCCCTTGTTTACATCTTCTTTGTTTATGCATGTGCTACTTCTGTTAGATTCTTCTGCTACCAATCTTGGCATCTGCTCTTCTAATTCAGGAAGTAGGGACCCCTGGCATTGGCCTTGGGCTCCTGGATATAGAACTGAAACTTCCCTATTCTGTCCTGTATTCTTGCTTGCTTCTGGGTATTCTGGGAAAAGATACGGTGGTGTACTTCTCTCTGAACTGGATTTGTCATGGTTAGTCTCCCCTTCTGGGTAGGAAACAACTGCCTCTACCCTCCTGTAAGAGCCATGCATGGAATAATCTATAGGAGATGTAGTCATCTCATTCTGGAGCCTTCTTCGTTTTTCCACAGGTTCTTCACCAAGGATCCACTTGTACTTACTGCCAAGAGAAAATCAGACTGTAAGTTGTCACAAGTATATTATCCTATGGACCCCATCCTCAAATTCTCCACATTAAAAATGTCTTTAGGTGCTAAACTGAGCAGGGTGGCACGACACCTGTAAACCCAACCCTTGGGAGGCTGAGGCAGGAGGATCACCACAAGTTTGAGGCCAGCAACTTTAAAGCCAGCCTTAACTACATAGAGAGATCTTGTCTCAAAAACAAAACAAAACAAAACAACAACAAAAAACAAACAACAACCCTCCCCTCAAAATACCTCTAAGTGTTACTCACAGATTATTTAGTCATAAATGTAACTGCTATGGTTTAGATGTAGTTTGTGCTCCAAGGGTTCATGTAGCTATGTTCCTACTGTGACAATGTTAAAAGATGGTCGGGAACCTTTAAAAGGTGTAGCCTAGTGACAGGTTGTTACATCATTGACAGTACGGTCATCTGAAGGGATCAAAGCAGTTTTCATGGGACCCTGAGTTATTTCTCATGAGAATAAGATGTTATAAAAGAGGGATCCTGACTCCTGAGTCACATTCGCGTGGCTTCCTATCTCAAAACATGATCTTTTCCTCTCATACGTATCATCATGATCCCACCCTCAGAAGGCCTTTATCAGAGTCAAGCTAATACCAGTACTGCCTTTCAATCTCTAGAACAGCAAGCTAAAAAAGCCTCTTTTTTCAATAAGGTTACCCATTTTCACATATTTCATTAGAGTAAATAAAAACAAACTAGTACCCATATTCATTTGCCAAACCTCAACCTCTTCATTCATGCAACTGGCTAAGTTAGCAACTGTTATTCAGGGAGAAGTGTATTTGAAAGTTTCTAAGGGTCAGTATCTAGATACAACAAGACTAGGCTAAGCTTGGTTAAAATTCTAAATGTATATTTGAAAACAGCTTGACTTGAAGTTTCTTAAATGCAAGTAAAGGAAGACAAATAAACAAACAAAATGTACACACACACACACACACACACACCCAACATCTTCTAACACAAGAACAGAATGAAAAGGTCATAAAAAGCCTTGTGGTGTATGCAGAGAATAAAGCCAGCTTGTTAATTTTAAAGTGTCACAAAACCTTTCCATTATAAAAGGCTTATGCACATTTTTTTATATTGCAATAGAACACAGCACAGTACATTTGCCAGCCAACTGGATTATGGCTATTGCCCATTATTCACTTGTAAAAGTTAATTAAAACACAAGGTCCCAGCCAGAAACAAAGAAAGTGAATTAGCCAATTTAAATCATTTTCCCATTGTGACAAATAACTCCCCTCGGTCAAGCAAAAACAGACACTCCCTCAGTTCTTCAGAGAAGACTAGCAGGATGGCCTCATGTCACCTTCTGTGTCTGACTGCTATAAGCACTAATGGTTAAAAGAACTAACAAAACAATTGAGAAATCTATAGGCAATTTCATATCATATATCACTAGGATGAGAACCTCATTGTTATTCTTTTAACTGTTCTGCTCTTTCTCTCTATACAACCAAGACATTTCAAGGTAAAAATAAACTTTTGAACTTGCAAGGAAAATCAGTTACCTCATCGTATCTAAAGGCTTCCTGCATCTCTGTAATTTCTGTGAACATTCACAAGACATCTCAAACCTTAGCTTCTTATAATACCCTATATATTCTTCAGGAATAAAACTGGCCCGCATTTCAATAGATCCTATTGTGATAGCCTTATAGGAAAAGCAAAAGGATTTAGATGCTGTGTGAAAACAAATATATGCCTCTTTAAACATATCGTAAGGGGCACCACAGATGGTTCATTTAGCAGTGGTACTAAGGAAGATAGTAAAATAATCAGTTGGTAAGAAAGAAGAAAAGGTATATATAATACTAGAGAGCAACAACAAAGTTTTATGAAAGGCAATCAAATCATATTATTTGCTTTATCTTTATTTTCCCACCTTTAAGGGTTCTATTCTTAACTATAGTCTCCTTTTCAGTAACCCTATACCACCTCTTGGCTAATACTTCTGGGCAGTAAATCTCACATTTTCCCAAGTCCTAACCTCCACTATTGAATTTCCAACTGCCTACCACATAGTTCTTCTTCCTGGAGAACCCACTGATCACAAACTTCACCTTCAGTATTTTTTTTTTTTTTTTTTTTTTTACCAGGGATGAAACTCAGGACCTTGAACTTGTGAGGCAGGCTCATTGCTACTGAGCTAAATTCCCCAGCCCTAAACTTCATCTTCAAACGTGTTCCTTCTCGTTTCCTACTTGTATTAACACCACCAAACTGTCAGTAATTTTTATAGTTTTATGCATGACTTATATATTATCAATACTCCAATTCAATTTCTCATTACCTCTCCAGGACTACCACAGAGGCTTTGTCTGGTCTCTGGTCTTCCCTTCTCTGTCTTGAGATTATTCATTGGCCTGACTATGCTACTCCTCTATTTGGAATCTTTATTTAGTGCTTTCCACAAAATGAAAGCTCACCTATCTTAGCTTGTTATTCAAGCCTTTCTATGCCAAAAACACAGGAAACACTATTGAGCATTTACTCTAAACCAGTGTGGTAAGTGCTTAACATTGTATTAGCTTATCTAAGTCTACCAATAATGCCAAGGTAATGTATTCAATTCTTTTAAAAGGATGCTGAGGAAAAGGTTAAGTAACTTTTTAAAGATAGTACATGGTAGAGCTAGGACACAACACTAACTTTATATTCCATTACTTCCTTTACAAATACCAAACTGAATGCTCTATTATTTCTCATGCTGCTCCTTTTGATTGAAATGCCCCTTCTTCTAACACTGCATGTCTAAATCACGCTCAAATGCTACTTCTGAATGAAAGAAGAAATGGATTGTACTTATTGGTTCTGTATTTCTCCAGAAAATCTAGCTCTTCCCTCTAAGAATCAATTCTCAAACCAGACCTGCACTCATTTATTGAGTAAAAGTTAGGGGTTTTATATCATAGGAATTCTCCAACTACATACTTTTCTTTCTTCTTTTTGTCATAATTCTCCATTGTTACTTTATAGGTACACTTTTAGTTATTTTGTCTTTAAGTATTTCACATTTTCTGACAAAAATATAGTTCTAGTATGCTTCTGTTCCTTCAAAGTACTTTCTGAAATATTTGTTTGACCACTATCAGCTTAGTATTTCACTAAGACAGAGTACACTATATTCAAATTATGATTTTTTTATGCCCTCATTTCCATGTTTCCTTTGTTTGGGACAGTATGACAGGCAATGAGGACTAAAAAAAGCAAAAAAACACAAAAAACCAAAAAACATGTTGTATATGTTCTCCTTCCAGATATACTTTTAAACATCTCTATTGATATAAATGCCTTAAATTCACACAATTAAAATGTACAATTCAATTGCTTTACTATATTCACTTATATGACATCACCATAATCTAAGCTTAGAAAATTTACATCATTCTAAGAAACCTTCTACTTCTCTCCATACCTCCAGGTAATCATTGATCTAATATCTGTCTGATGTATCTCAAAAAGGTAAACCTACTCTAGGCATTTCAAATGGAATGATATAATATATTGGATTATTTTGAGACAGGGTCTCACCAAGTTGCCCAGGTTGGACTTGGACTTACAGACTTAAGTGATCTTTACCTCACTCTTCTAAGTAGCTGGGACCAAGGTATACACCAACATACCTGGCTTTTAGTGATCTTTTTTGTTTTTGAAGTTTATTCATGTTGTAGCACTTCACTGTAGCCATGGCACTGATATAGTTTGAGTGTGTACCTTGAAGGTTTGTATATTGAAATTTAATCCCCATTGCGAGATAGAGTGGAAACTAAATTTAACTATGGTGTTTATTTTTATTTTGTTTTGATTTTTAAGACAAGCTCTTGCTAGGTAGTTCACACTAGTCTTAATCTCACCATGTATCTATCCCAGGTTGGTGTCAAACTTGCAGTGATCCTACTACCTCAGCCTCCCAAGTGCTGGGATTATAGGCATGCATCACATCTGGCTCAACCATAGGTGTTTAGAAGTAAAGTCCTTTGGGAGGTGATTAGGATTAAATAAGGTCATCAAGGCAGAACCCCAGTGATTGAACACTGATGGCTATATGAGAGAGGAGGAGATATAGATATAGACCCATGCACACTCCCTGTCTCTTCCCATGAGATACCCTGCACCACTTCAGGACTCTGCCAGAAAAAAGGACTTCATCAGAGCTAATGCTATGCAATTTGGATGTATAGGCTTCAGAACTGAGTAAATAAACCTATTTTCATTATAAAGTCACCCAGCCTCAGGTATTTCATTACAGTAAGAAAAAGCTGATTATTAAAATCCCTTTGTATAGCTGAGTAATATCTCATTGTATGGATAATCCACATTTTGTATTTATCCATTTACCAGTTGACAGATATTTGGGTTCCTTCCACTTTTAGGTACTGTGAATATATATGTATAGTTAGATGCTTGTATGCAACTGCATTTTTTCAGTTTTCATAGATATGTACTTAGGAGTGGAATTACTGGGTCATATAGTAACTCTATTTTTAAAATTTTGGATCAATGCCAGACTTCTTCAAAGCAGCTGCAACATTTTGCATTTATACCACACCAATATATGACAGTTCTAATTTTGTCACAGCTTCACCAACACTTGCTATTGGCCATTTTTAAAATTACAGTCATCTTACTGGCTGTGGAGTAGCAGCTCATTGTGGTTTTGATTTGCAATTCCTCAAAGGCTTGTGATGTTGAGCATCATTTCATGTGTTTATTGATCATTTGCATATGTTCTAAAGGGAATTGTCTATAGGGATCTTTTGACCAGTTTTAAGTAGACTATTTGTCTTATTAGTGATTATAATAGTTTTATCTAGTCTGGATTCTAATCCATCCTCAGATATTATTTCCAAAGTTGTCTTCCCATTCTTTTCACTTTCCTGATAATGACCTTACAACTGAATTTTTAAATATTCACATAGGAAAATTTAACTATTTTT